ATGCAGTGAGATGTTTGTGCTGCACACAGAGATCTGATCTGATCATCATCAGTCTGTCTGGAGTCACATGAAGAAACAGAACAAACTGAGACAGACTCAATCCAGAAGAACTGTGTCTCCGAGACGCTTCAAGAAACCTCCTGAGAAACTCTGCTCAAGTGCACCGAGAGCAAAAGCTGCTTTAAACACAAAGATGCTCACACCAAATGTTGATTTCATTTAGTTCATAGAAGTTAATTGATCAAGAGAATCATTTTTTTACAGCATTTTAACACAAGTGCCTAAAACTTTTAACAGCACTGTAGCTTTGCAGGAGGTTTCTTGAAGCGTCTCGGAGAAACCATTTTTAGCTGGTTAAAATACTAGTGCTCTAATAATTTTGGCCAGCACTGTACAACGCAGATATGAACTGTCCAAGAACTATCAGACTGTTGGGAAAAATATTTCATTATCCAAAGAGAATTTTATACATCCAGAAGAAAATAAGAGTAATGTTACAAGTACTCGTGTAACAATAGGCGCATTTCACATTTTAGTGCAAACTTAACACCGGCCAAAAAGCAGGACAACCTTGATATTCTCCAGGTGGGCAGTGAAGTTTACCATAAAGTGTGTTACTAAAAGTGAGCGGCGAGGCTGGGCCGCTGTCCCCGTTTTCAAGAGAGCTGTGCTTTCTGGCCCCGCTCGGGGAGCCGGTGGCCCTCCAGAGACTCGCTCCTGGAAACAACTCATTATATGCTATTTTCAGGAAGCAGGTCGCTGTCCTTCTTTTCCAGCAGCTCGCTTCAGCAGGCACACGCCAACAACCTCATTCTGACTTCCCACAAGTTGAGCTTTTAAGAAAAGCACGCTAATAAGAGCACTTGAAGACCATCACCAACGTTTAAGACCGTTATCCTTCTAAGAAGATTCGGCATCAAGTTCACACATTAGCCCGACCGATATGGGTTTTTTGGGGCCCATGCCGATACCGATATTAGGGAGTAAAAAACCGTTAGATACCGATATATATCGGCCGATATTCTTTGTGTATTTTATAGTACAGTACCAGTCAAAAGTTTGGACACTTTCCCATTCGTGTGGCCAAACATTTTACTGGTACTATATATAGAATACAGTATATACATAAACAGAATATAAGTACACTTCACATCACTTATTATAAATAACTTTAAACCACAAATAGAACAATATATTTATATAACTTGAATAAAGAAAAAAAACAAAGGTAATTGTGTAACAAGCTACTGCCAATCCAACAGGGGCAGGTTTATGCAGGAAGCACAGCTTTTCCAAATGTAAACATCTAAAATGAATAATAACAATAATGATTTTTTTTCTCACAAATTCTGTGTTGTGTATTTTCTGGTAATCAAATGAACACGCAGAACATGAGGATTCGTATTTAAATCGTATTCGTCTTTTTGCAGTTTAATATTCACAGACACTAGTCTATATCGTGATTTGATTTAAGTGTACTGACCTGTTTTTTATTTATTCATCAAAGATACAACATTCCATGAAAATCCGCGTTATACAGTAAATTCCGTTTTTATGAATGGATTCTGTGCTTCCGTCCGCGTTTTCTGCATCACGGAAATCATAGCGCCCTACTAATGTAGCAAACGAGTATGATAAGCTCATTGTGAGAGTAAAAGACGGGACATTGTTTATGTACTTTATAGCATTGTGTCCCATCAACTAGGTGACAACGTGTTAAATCACTCAACAGACTCAAGCCACCACCGCACTGCCGTCTATTGTAGAGAGATACTAATTTTTCAATCTGCTACGTTACTGACTGTACTGACAAACTATGCTGATTTAGGAAATGTGACGTGACCGATGTGATAAGCATGAGTTCTGGGATGAGGCGTAAATTTCAGTTTGCATGCAACACATTCTACAAAAATAAATGTACTGTATAAATAAAAATAACTGTTCATTTCCTTTTTGTGTACTACATTGTTGACTTTTCCCAATACACTTTTACCTACTGTTGAAATCTGTATCTATAATGCTCAGTATGATACACTGAAAAAACTGACATTCTTGTATAGCATAGAAAGCAGTCTCTCAACAAAAAAGTAGAAAAAATATTCATATAACCAATATAAAATAAAACTGCATATAAATATTTCCATGGTAAAAAAAAAAAAAAGTTTTTTTATTTTGGTGGCATTGGCCAAGTAACTGACACAATAACTGGGTTTTGAAGCATGAATTAAATGTTTTGGGTGAGTTACTATCTTTTGCAGACATGCAATAGTGTTCTGATGTTTTAGCAAACAGTTCTGACAATTGCGCTTACAGTTTAGAGATTAAGATTGTTTAAAAAAAATAATGTGCCAAAGCAATTGAGAAAAACTGTAAAAATGCTTGCGTAAATGATAAAAAACTGTCATAGCAGTGCAACTGCAAGAGTTTTGAGTCAATCTCAAAGAAACGCCTTGGCTTAAAAAGGACTGTCTAGCTCCGGGGTGGCGAACTCCGGTCCTGGAGAGCCGCAGCCTGCAGAGTTCAGCTCCAACCGTAATTAAAACTCACCTGCCTGTAGCTCCCTAGTAACCGTTCAGACCTTGATTAGCTTGTTCAGGTGTGTTTGATTAGGGTTGAAGCAAAACTCTGCAGGGCTGCGGCTCTCCAGGACTGACGTTCGCCACCCCTGGTCTATCTGAATTGGCGTATGATGGGTGTTATCATCTGGAGAAGGCATTCTAACAGCTCATGCTTTAAACTACAGTCTGACAAGTTCAGTGTTCGATTTACTTTTGTTATGCCTTTAATACAAGTTGTCCATCACACAAATAGTTTTGATCTACAGACAGAAGAGACACAGATGTGCATCATCTGCATAGCTATGAAAATGAATCCACAGCTCCTTGTAAAGGTAACACTGCCGAAAGTTAATGCAAAAAAGAACAACAAAGGCCCTATAATCGAACCCTGTGGGATTCCACAAGAAATGGCAAATTTGATTTGAAGATTGATTACCTACAGCAAATAAATAAATAAATGAATATTTCTAAATGTCTATTTGTCATGCAGGATTTAGATCAATTTAAAACCATCCCTGAAAAATAGGGATGTAATGATTAACTGCGAGCCGGTTGAAAATCGATTAAAATATGTGACGATTCAAATCGGTTGAGATGCTAAACAAATCGCGATTCAGTTAGGGGTAGGAGTTTATATGAATGCATGTCTGAGGGGAACTTACGGTCTTTAAAAAAAGTTTAGATGGTATTTTTTCTTTTCATCTTGCCTCTGTAAAATGCATATTAAAGTTCATAAGTGCAGCGCTGCTTTGTTTCCAGCGGAAACCAGGAAACACTTTAAGCGCCACCTGCTGGCAGAGAGTGCATCTGCGTCTCGTTCTGCTCGTCTGCTGTTTCTGTTTCATGCAGATATTTTTATGTATAGTTTCACAAAACTGAAGTCAAACCATTTTGTTTTTGTTTCAAATTTAGAAATTATACAATCTAATTTAGAAAAAAAAATCCTCATGTTGCATGTATGCAGCATCTTTGTTTGGATAATGATTATGTTTATTGATTATTAAACAATTATATCATTGTTTGGAAATGATTGCCTCTCATTTTAAATGGAAAGAGCACAGATTATTTTGTTTATATGAAGATATTTATTTTATTTGTGTTACTTATTTATTTGCTTTGGGGTTTGTTTTAAAATGTTAATTTAGTTTTGTTATTTACATTTACATTATATAAAAATTTGGTCATTTAGCAGATGCTTTTATCCAAAGCGACTTACAAATGAGGATAACAGAAGCAATCAAAACCAACAAAAGAGCAATGATATACAAGTGCTGTATTAGTATATTATTATAGTGATATATTTCAATTTCACAAAGAAACATGCAACATTTTGTCCAAGCAATAATAAAAGGACACATTTATTTATAATTTGTCTTAAACCTCATTTTGTAAAAAAAATTAAATAAAATTGTGAATCGAATCGTGAGTTGAGTGAATCGTTACATCCCTACTGAAAAACCTAACAAGCTTGCAGGTCGGTTAATAAGAATGTTATGATTGACTTTATTAAAGGGGTCATATGATGCTTTTTTAAAGATCATTATTTTGTGTATTTGGTGTAACAGAATATGTTGACATGCTTTAATGTTCAAAAAACATTAAATATAGAGGTCCTCTATGCCCCGCCTCTCTCAAACGCTTCGTTTTCTACAAAGTCCCTCCTTCCGACAAGCGCAGTCTGCTCTGATTGGCTCTGCATTTGAACAGTCAATAGCAAATACTTAAACTAATAACAAAACAGTAGCTGATTCAGAAGCGCCAGATTGTCATAGCAAAGTCAGAATTACCTCCTCTCCTAGGTTCACGAAACGGTCGTCCATAAAATGCATTGCTGTTCTGTTGTAAGTAATCTTAAAGATTCCTAAATGCATCTACTTCCGGAAGGCCAAATAAAGTGCTTTTGCTTTCTCCTAGAAACACACAGCGTCTCCCTGACATGCTGCTTCAACACTAACTGCGGTTACTGAAACCATGCCTTCTTTCTTTGCGTGCACATTTGGGCGGCATTATGCTAATATTTCCACATAGTGATGTAGATATGTGGGGGCGTGTTAGAACGAGCCGTTTTAGGGGCGCGTGGCAGAGTCTTAACTTTGATATATTGGACCAAAATGAAAGCTCTGGGCCACATTCAGTCAACATAAGCAAAACTAATCTCTGTGTTAATTGTTTATGAAACCATTCTTACAAAAATTCCACAAAATTTAACTTTTTGCATTCTATGTTTAGCATAATTTACTCAGAAATTTGCTTTGCTTTTGTCTGATGAATAAATCCCATTATATTTCCCAGCATTCAAGTGCACATTATTTATGACAAAATCACTGCCGTTTCTCTAGTTTAGGTTGCCTCCGGATCACAAATCATTTCACAAATAAGACTACATTATAATAGTTATGTTTAATGAAAATACATTTATGCACACCAAGGATAATTTGTATTTGAAAAATCATCAAAATATTGCTACTGATCATAAATCGCACCAAAACTAATCGATTTCATGGCACACTAGTTGGACAGATTTTTCAAATTATTATTCAGGTCTATATTTCCAGTTAAAATAATCCATCCCTCACTAAAGGAATGTTAAACGTCCTCCTGGGCGTCGTCCTGCTGCCCTCCTCAAGACACCGCATAGAGAGAGCCTCTGCTTCTGCAGTGAGCTTTCATCAGAACACCACTGACTTCATCAATTCTCATCGGGAAGAGGCATTTCTATTTAAGTTCCATCTCAGCCCCCAATATATCAATTTAATGATTTTTCTCTTCTCTTATGCTCTCTCATCTCTGAACTAAATGTAGAATTTAAGGGCACTGTGATGGGCTGAACGCGCAGGACATCATCCACAGCTCAATAATAAGCCAACAGAAGAAATGTGCTTTAGATTGTGAACGTGAGGTCAAATCAGGACAGGTGTGATAAACTTCAGTCTATAAAAATAAAAAAATAAAACAAACCCATTTAACTTCGAAAGACTTCGCCCTTTTAAACGCAATCACAATGAACGATTACTGAAGCTTTCAAGCTTCAAAAAGGACATAATTACCATAAAAGGATCATGAAAGTGCTCATGGACTGCAATTTAAGTTGTTATTCTCTGATAATCCAACCCTTGAGTGGGCTGTTAACTAGTAATGAGACTGTGAATCACTGATTCATCAACAGATCTGACTGAAAAGAACAATGAATTCACAAACTCAACATCTCTACCTCCCCAATGAGGGTGCAGAGGAGGCCTTCTTTTTATCACGTAGAATTATTTATAGACTAGTGATGATCCAATCACTCTTAGGCCCTTGTCCAAACGATCGCGGTTATTTTTAAAACCGCATCTTTTTCTACGCGGTTTGGCCGTTCGTCCACACGCAAACGCAGCACCAGGTCACTGAAACCGAACATTTTTGAATACCATGGTGCAGTTAGTGTTACTACAGTAAATCCATGGTAATGATGGTGATTAGTAGATTGAAAGTCTTCTGACTGTATCGCAGCAGTTCGGCCCTGCATATGCTGCCAAACACCTGTGCTGTGAACACAGACATCATCTCTGTAGAGCGCTGGGCAGATTCCTGCATACACTTAAACACGGCCCGTCTAGTTACTGTGCCTGACTTTGACAGGAGGCTCGAGATTATGTGCATACATTAAAAATGACACTTCTGCAAAAGTACTTTTTTTAAATTGCAAGTGGGAATTTTTAGGATGCGAGAACGACCGCAGCAGAACACAGCTGTCATGTGCATGTTGTGAATTTCCTACCTTCGTCAATCACTTGCTGAGTTATAAACACATTTCAGTTGTAGTGCCCTCTATAGGCAGAACTGGACGAAACTTGGTGCGAATCCTCAAAACATCCTGCTTTGAAAGTGTACCAAGTGTCACATAGACTAAACTCTGTGTTCATGAGAAACAGGCTTATTAGTCAACGTGAATCTGAGGGTCCTTTCTGCAAAAGATGCGACGGACAGAAACTCTTTGAAAAGCTTCTTGTCAGGACGAACTGTAGATGAAACCAGGAAAACATTCTGCGGGACCCAGATCCGGGCATGAGTGTGCAAAAACTAGTGCTTTCAGAAAATGCAAAACGGTGGAAATTACACAGAAACCGAAGAACATGGAATTCAAAACATAAATGAGAAAATGAGAACAAATCCCACATACTTCAAATCAGATCCTGCACAAGGAATTTAAGAAAGAGTCACTCAAAACGAACTCAAATGACTTTGAAACTGCATCTGAGAAGCAAAGCTCTTGCTATGCACAATATCACACATCATCAAGAGACTGAAGATCCCAATTAAAATGCATGAGAAAACCCCAGCCGAACTTCGAAGAGAGTTTGTCCAGTCATGCATTACACAAGAGCCGCAAACACGCAGGTCACACACAGGTGTAGAGACACCAGATTCACTGTACCAGTAGCATTTGCTGTTGTTGTCCAGAAGCTTCTCCACCATGTGCTCCACCCTCACAAACCAGCTGGGCACTGCTTTATAGATCAGCGGCGTGTCCGACCTGCCAAAGAAAGGCGTTTTCAATATTTCAAGATGAACTTTTATAATGTTACAGTACTCTCTCCTGTGCCAGCATCATATGGTAGCACTACCAATCGCTAAAAAATCAGTCATTTTGCTCAAGAGAGATACTGTTTTCCTAATAATGAAGACACTCCTGTGATTAATCATTATAAAAATAAAATCCTTAAAATCTGTAAATACTGTTTTATGAATGCAGGACGGCACTCGTATGATAAATTGCTTGAGCTCTTTGAATATCTTCCAAAATGCAAATTAAACACTATTTAATATATTATATTTAATATAAGTAATTAATGACTATGCAAACGAAACAACTTGTTGCTGATTCAATTCACTCGCAATGCTTCAGTGTTTTCATGAAAGACTAAAGTACTTTTTTGTTTGTTTGTTTGTTTCTAATGACAGTTTGTAATTTGATTCATTACCTAAATGTCCATAAAAAATAAAAATAAACGGAGGAAAAATTGTGAGCTGTTTGTTAGATCATTGGTAAACAATGATTACTTGTGACCTTCTCTTGCATTTGTTTATATTTTGGGCGCTGTCCAGTAATGATCATGACTAGCACACAGTTTGTTTGGATTAGTCGTGTCTGACCGCTAGCCGATCGGTTCACACACTTCACTACCAGCGTCAACACCAAATCCATGGACGAGATTAATGCATCACAACTTTCTACTAGCACCTACAATTATTTACCAAATAGAATGTGTATGTGTTTGTTGTTTTGGTTTTATGTTTACCTGTGATTATGATTACCTGCCAAGGGACCGCGGATGAAAACTAGCCATTGTACAAGTACATGGTACCTTTTCAAATAAATTTTAATAAAATAAAATAATGATTTTTGACTATCTGACCATTAATGCAATGAACAGCTTTTAATAGATTATATGTGTCCCTGCAGCACAAAAGCAGTGTTAAGTCGCTGGGGGATATTTGTAGCAATAGCCAACAATACATAGTATGGGTCACAATTATACATTTCTCTTTTATGCTAAAAATCATTAGGATATTAAGTAAAGATCATGTTCCATGAAGATATTTTGTCAATGTCCTACCGTAAATATATCAGAACTTACTTTTTGTTTAGTAATATGCATTGCTAAGAACTTCATTTGAACAACTTTAAAGATGATTTTCTCAATATTTTGATTTTTTTGCACCCTCAGATTCCAGATTTTCAAATAGTTGCATCCCGGCCAAATATTGTCCTCTCCTAACAATAACTGAAAAATGTACCCTTACGACTGGTTTTGTGCTCCGGGGTCACATTTGTCTTTTTCCTTGAGTCAGAGGTTGTATTACGCTAACCAGATAACCAACGAGAACCAGATGAAAGCATCTTTTGTTTTTGACTTTCACTAAAGTTAGAAGTGAACCAGTCCGGCTCTCTCTGCTGGTTTGTTGTCTATGTGGTTGTTTGTTGGTAGCACACTGACGCTGCGGTCTATGTTTCCAGATGAGGAGCACCTCTGTAAGCCTCAGCATTAGCATTCTCAAGCTCTCCTGATCGACGATCAGTATCTGCTGCGCCTTTACACTGACAAACCCCTTCAATATCCATAATGTTGTTCCCCAGCAGCGCCGGGATGGGCCGAGCTCATGAGAGTCGATAGGAGAGTGATTTATTGATGGCGCAAGCGCTACATGAGTTTCTGTTCGTCAGAGGGGTTAATGAGGCTGGAGGTCTCTGCCGGCTCACTCACGCTCGTGTGAAGTGATGAAACAGCAGGCTAGATATTGAGCACCGTATGCTAATGTTGCTGCCCCGCGACCCCCTCTCTACAGGCCACCATATCGACTGAACTCTGCCCTGTCCAGCAGAGGTCACAGAGATGCGCGCCTCCGTTCTGGAAAACCTTTTGGGTTGGTTGATGAAGAAAAACTAAATTTGACCTTTGGCTATAGTGCTGTACATAGCTCTGATGGACAGGGGCTGGAATAAACAATGTGAACACCCTGGAAATACACAATATTTCTTTATCATGGTGTTTTACCACCATTAGTCTTTAATAGGGATGCACTGAATGTTCAGCAACCGAAATTATTCGGCCGAAAATAGCAAAAAAAATTTCTTTCGGAGTTTGGTCGAATAAGCGAAAAGGCCGAATAATATGTACCGAACAATGACTAACGCAATCAAATAGAGGCACGCACTAATGCAGCAAACATGTCGGCAGTGTGAAAGGATTTTAAACTATCAGAGAAAGACGCAGAAATCATTACAAGCGTGAAGCAACGACAGCGAGAGACTGTTTAGTGCCGCATCACATGTCTCCGATGAGATGAAGAGGTGAAATAAATTCTGTAAAATAGGTCAATTGTTCTGTAAAATAAAATAAGACCATAATAATGATGATAATAATAACAGCTCTATTAATACATTTATTGTAACATTCACACAGTGTTCAAATTGGGATCTGTAATATATTCTAATGTTTTAAAAGAAGTCTCTTCGGCTCAGCAAGGCTACCTTTATTTGTACAGTAAAAAATACATGCCTGATTCAAGTCTCAAAAATGGCCAGAAAATATTATTTTACTAACGTATTAATTTTAAGTGAAATTGTGCTTTGTCTGTATAACGTCTGCTAGAATGTTAAAAAAAAATGTTCAGTGTTAAGTAAATATTTTTAAATTGTTGTTTTGTAATTGATTTTTTTATTTGAAAAGCAGGACAAAATAGTAAAAAGCACATTTTGGCTATTTAATTTATGTTATGGTGAAAAAAAATGGCAAAATAGGCCTACATGGGGGGCAAAATGCGAAAAAAAAACCTGTTCGGCCTTCGGCACAGTGTTTCATTTCGGTGCATCCCTAGTCTTTAATACAGCTTCCAACCTGACAGTTTAATGTCATCTATTAGAGCATCTAGCAGCCACTTCAGAGATGTTGGTGGAGAGCAGTTGGCGCCGTCAAGCTCTCTGTGGCCGGTTTTTGTTGAATATGGAATATTAATCTGCGTTGTTTGAGCGCAATCCTTGTTAGTGTTCAATGTTCCGTTTGTTGCACGTTTGTTTTTTCACTGTAGCCTACAGGAATGATATTTTCCCCTATTATAGTAATAATAATAATGGGTGTTCACATTACTTTGTCCAACCCCTGTAAATGAAAAGTGATTTTTTTTGGGTCAGCAGAGCAGTAAAATACAATAAAAATTTATGTTTAAATAATCAAGGAATTTTTCCAATTTTTCACCAAACGATAATAATGAGCTCACTAACGCAATAAAGCGTTTTTATTCAAAAAGGAGAACAGTACATAGTTTGCTCGTTCAGTTGTCTCTAAGCTTCTGTGATCAGAGCAAAGGTGTGGCCACATTTTCCAAATTTCTTTTGCAGGCAAAAAAGCTCTATAGACTATTAGATACATATAAAGCACAGCTCACACAGAAGTCACTTCCAAACACGGCAAATTCTCAAGACTAACTGAACGCAACGCAAAATCTGAAAATCTTTCGCGCCGAGAGATTTCAGATTGCATGCATTTCAATTACATTAATGCATTTAGCCGACGCTTTTCTCCAAAATGACTTCGAAAACAGAAGCCAACGATATTCATAATATGCAATGCCAGGTTTATTATAGGTCACAAATGTTGTTTTGCTTTTGAACAACGTGCTCAGTTTAAATTAAAATGACTATTTCACCAGAGCAGTGGTAAGTGTGCTGGCGCATTACAGCAGAGTAAATGTAAAAGCGTGTCTGCACTCACCTCCAGCAGAACGGGTAGCTGTGCTTGAACGAGCTGGAGCTCACCAGACGCCCGTTCTCCTTCAGCCACTTGATTATGTTTTTGTCTGCATCCTGAAAGCATGGAGGACAGACAGAACAAAGTCTCAGAGCGTGCAGCGCATACAAGCAGACAGTGTGGGACTATTAAAGAATAAAGGCCTGGCTTTACAGCTTCTTCAGCAGCTCTGGAGTTATAGAAATGTATGAAGCATTTGCTCTCTTTGGGGCCGGTCACATCCCAGCACTCATGCAGTTTTCCTTGACTGCCTTTCAACAAAAGTCTTATTAATTCACTTTAATGGAAACGTGTCCAGCGTGTCCTTGTAGCAGAGTGGGCTGAATTGGCTTCCTGTCTCATGCATAATCGATTTTAGGAAACTTTTCTTAACCTGTGAGGCCTTATGAAGGGTATTCGTATTCCTCTGGGAGAAAACTTTAACCTGCAAGGTGCTACATGAAATGTTTACAAGAGTCAACGTGCATTTATGATCACCAGTGACGCTCTTCATCCGACTAGCAGTAAACCAGCACAATCACGCTGAAGCCCCATGACAACCTTTAAAAGCATCTGAAGCACAAGATCTATTAGAAATGCTAGAAAATAGCTTAAGTAGGCAATTTAAGCAAATGTCTGTATTTCATGAATATGTTTGTTTTATTGTATTTATTTGTGCTACTGCTAGTAATTTGCTAATTAGTTCTTAATTCATTACAGATGGTCTACTTGTCTTTCATTTTATATTAGTTAGGCTATTAGCATTTGCTGCGGTATCAGAATTAAGATCTGTGACGCTTCACTGGCAACATTTTGGAGTCGGATTTATTCAATCTTTGTCATATATTGATTAAATGTAGAGGATATGCTCTTCAAAATACAAAAACCAAACAAAAAAAAATGCGAAAATTTTTATTTTGTAAGTCGCTTTGAATAAAAGAGTCTGCTAAATGACTAAATGTAAGATTAGCACTGGAACAATTTGAATGTTATGCACTAGAAAACAAAAAAACAGGTTTGTGTTTTGGAATAAACAGTAAAACAGGGTGTTGCAGGTTTATATTTATTTGTTGCAGCCTAATGTGCTGTTCACTGATCTTTTCCTCCAGCTGAAACAATGTCTTCAAAATTTTAATGTATGTGAAAAAAATATCTATATATTTTTTATTTATTGTGTCGGTGGCCCTGTTGACAGCCCTAGTTTGGGTTGATACGAGAGAGTAAATGATGACAGAATTTCTGGGTGAGCTATTGTTTTGCATAGCCTACATAATTTTTCAGACCCCCAAACTGATGGGCTTCAAATCTTAATTAGCAAGCCCACTGATAATTTACACCCCGATTCAATATTTCCAAAGTAAATGCATGAAACTGTCAGGGAGTCCGTCTCTGCCGGCTCTAATTCAAAGACACAGGTGGACCGTATGAGCGCTGTGTGAGCGCTAATGAGCGCTTAGGCAAAGAGAACCTGACTATGAGTGCCGAAATATAAAATGACAGAGCAGAACTATGATGAAAGCTATTCTCGAGTCGGGAAACAGAGCGGAGTTTCTCTGGCACTGGGCTAAAGCGCTGACATCAGCACTCCCATAGTCCCTCTGTCACCCATCACACCTCCACACTGGAGACAAGTTCCCTTAAAGTACATCTTCATTTGTGTGAGGTTCAACTGCTGCTCTGAGTGCTGGACACACACACACACACACACACTCTCTCTCTCTCTCTCTCTCACACACACACACACACACACACACATGAAGGAGCTCAGTGTGCGCGCTTGAGCCTCTGATGAGGTGTACAGCAGCATCCGTACCTTCACGTACTGCCCGGCGAAGTGAGTGACCTCTGCAGTGAAGACGCCGGATGAGTCCACAGGGCAGATGGGAGCCGAGTCTCTCTGGATGATCTTATAGTCCATACAGACGCGGTAATCATCCTGCAAACAGAAGAACACAACACCCGTCACACTGGGATTGTGTTTCTGAGAACGGCAGAGCATGAGTGTGTTCCTGTGTCTCAATTACAGAACATCTGGGGAATGAACCTCCACACAACGACACACAGGAGAGTCAAACATCCTGCTCAAAACAACCAGAGGAGAAAGACTGCTTCCGGCTGCAGGAGCTGCTCAACACTACTCTGATAACGACTGCCGCTGAGTGAACAACCGCACAGACACAACACTGACATTAACTCACCGCCACAGCCTCTGAGCTCACTGCACTGCTGCTGCGCGGCTGCTAGGGTGTTTGTCAGAGTGTTGCTGTGCAGTTGCTAGGGTGTTCTCGGGGTGTTTGTCAGAGTGTTGCTGTGCAGTTGCTAGGGAGTTCTCGGGGTGTTTGTCAGAGTGCTGCTGTGCAGTTGATAGGGTGTTCTTAGGGTGTTTGCCAGAGTGTTGCTGTGCAGTTGCTAGGGTGTTCTCGGGGTGTTTGTCAGAGTGTTGCTGTGCAGTTGCTAGGGAGTTCTCGGGGTGTTTGTCAGAGTGCTGCTGTGCAGTTGATAGGGTGTTCTTAGGGTGTTTGCCAGAGTGTTGCTGTGCAGTTGCTAGGGTGTTCTCGGGGTGTTTGTCAGAGTGTTGCTGTGCAGTTGCTAGGGAGTTCTCGGGGTGTTTGTCAGAGTGCTGCTGTGCAGTTGATAGGGTGTTCTTAGGGTGTTTGCCAGAGTGTTGCTGTGCAGTTGCTAGGGTGTTCTCGGGGTGTTTGTCAGAGTGTTGCTGTGCAGTTGCTAGGGAGTTCTCGGGGTGTTTGTCAGAGTGCTGCTGTGCAGTTGATAGGGTGTTCTTAGGGTGTTTGCCAGAGTGTTGCTGTGCAGTTGCTAGGGTGTTCTCGGGGTGTTTGTCAGAGTGTTGCTGTGCAGTTGCTAGGGAGTTCTCGGGGTGTTTGTCAGAGTGCTGCTGTGCAGTTGATAGGGTGTTCTTAGGGTGTTTGCCAGAGTGTTGCTGTGCAGTTGCTAGGGTGTTCTCGGGGTGTTTGTCAGAGTGTTGCTGTGCAGTTGCTAGGGAGTTCTCGGGGTGTTTGTCAGAGTGCTGCTGTGCAGTTGATAGGGTGTTCTTAGGGTGTTTGCCAGAGTGTTGCTGTGCAGTTGCTAGGGTGTTCTCGGGGTGTTTGTCAGAGTGTTGCTGTGCAGTTGCTAGGGAGTTCTCGGGGTGTTTGTCAGAGTGCTGCTGTGCAGTTGATAGGGTGTTCTTAGGGTGTTTGCCAGAGTGTTGCTGTGCAGTTGCTAGGGTGTTCTCGGGGTGTTTGTCAGAGTGTTGCTGTGCAGTTGCTAGGGAGTTCTCGGGGTGTTTGTCAGAGTGCTGCTGTGCAGTTGATAGGGTGTTCTTAGGGTGTTTGCCAGAGTGTTGCTGTGCAGTTGCTAGGGTGTTCTCGGGGTGTTTGTCAGAGTGTTGCTGTGCAGTTGCTAGGGAGTTCTCGGGGTGTTTGTCAGAGTGCTGCTGTGCAGTTGATAGGGTGTTCTTAGGGTGTTTGCCAGAGTGTTGCTGTGCAGTTGCTAGGGTGTTCTCGGGGTGTTTGTCAGAGTGTTGCTGTGCAGTTGCTAGGGTGTTCTCGGGGTGTTTGTCAGAGTGTTGCTGTGCAGTTGCTAGGGTGTTCTTAGGGTGTTTGTCAGAGTGTTGCTGTGCAGTTGCTAGGGAGTTCTCGGGGTGTTTGTCAGAGTGCTGCTGTGCAGTTGATAGGGTGTTCTTAGGGTGTTTGCCAGAGTGTTGCTGTGCAGTTGCTAGGGTGTTCTCAGGGTGTTTGTCAGAGTGTTGCTGTGCAGTTGCTAGGGTGTTCTCGGGGGGTTTGTCAGTGTTGCTGTGCAGTTGCTAGGGTGCTCTCGGGGTGTTTGTCAGAGTGTTGCTGTGCAGTTGCTAGGGTGCTCTCGGGGTGTTTGTCAGAGTGTTGCTGTGCAGTTGCTAGGGTGCTCTCGGGGTGTTTGTCAGAGTGTTGCTGTGCAGTTGCTAGGGTGCTCTCGGGGTGTTTGTCAGAGTGTTGCTGTGCAGTTGCTAGGGTGCTCTCGGGGTGTTTGTCAGAGTGTTGCTGTGCAGTTGCTAGGGTGCTCTCGGGGTGTTTGTCAGAGTGTTGCTGTGCAGTTGCTAGGGTGCTCTCGGGGTGTTTGTCAGAGTGTTGCTGTGCAGTTGCTAGGGTGCTCTCGGGGTGTTTGTCAGAGTGTTGCTGTGCAGTTGCTAGGGTGTTCTTGGGGTGTTTGTCAGAGTGTTGCTGTGCAGTTGCTAGGGTGCTCTCGGGGTGTTTGTCAGAGTGTTGCTGTGCAGTTGCTAAGGTGTTCAGGTGCTAAACTGCGTTTTAACAGTTTCTAATGAGTTGTAGGTATCTTTTAATGTGGCTGCTAAATGTTGCTATGCAGTTGTTAGGGTGTTCTTGGGTGATTGCCAGAGATTTGCTACACAGTTTCAAGGGTGTTTCAGGTGGTTTCTTGGGTACTGATATGCTAGGGTGTTTTGGGTGATTGCCAGGGTGTTGCCATGCAGTTGCTAAGGTCCTCTAGGTTATTGTCAGGCTGTTACTATGGTGTTCTTGGAAGTTGTTCATGTCTTGTTTTGCAGTTGCTAGGGTGTTCCCAACAGTTGCCAGAGAGTTTCTATTCACTTGTAAGGGTGTTCAGATTCTAAAGTGTTTTAGGTAGTTTCTATTTAATTGCTAGGGTACTACTATGCAGTTCTTAAAATGTACTCAAAGGTTGCTAGGGTTTCCTATGCACATGCTAGAGTCCTCCAGGTCGCTGTCATGCCGTTTCCATGGTTGTTAGGGTTTTGCTATACAGTTACTAGGGTGTTCCTGGGGGTTGCCAGAGTTTTGCTATGCTGTTGCTTGGGTGTTTTAGGGAGTATGTGCATGGCTGCTAGGCTACTGCTATGCAGTTGCTAGGGTGTTCTGGGGGATTGCCAAAGCATTGGCATGCAGTTTCTTGGTCTTCTAGGTGTTACCAGGGCGTTGCTCATCTGTTGCTAAGGTGTTGTGGGTAGTTTTGGGTGGTTGCTAAGGTACTGCTATGTTGCTAGGGTGTTCTGGGTGGTTGAAATGGCATTTCAGGTGGTGTCTTGGTAGCAGCTATGCAATTGCTAGTAGGGTTGGGTATTGTTTGAATTTGATCAAATCCGATTCAGATTCTTTTCGATTCCCAGTTTCAATTCCAATGTGATTAAAAAATTATATCAAACATATTTATTCTGTCTCTCATTATTGCAAAACATTTAGTTGCATCTGAATGCCATAAACAAAAATCAGCTGGCCACATAAAAAGTCATTTAAGAGCTGCATGATTCAGGATAAACTGAGTTTGTATGTTTTTTTTTTTTTTAAATGGAGACTCTGGTGATCTCAAGATTTTGAAGAAAAAAAATTAGGCAACTAAACAAAAGCACATGTAATTTATGAATGAATGATTCAATGGCTCCCTCAAAAATTAATTTAAAGTTTCATTACTGGATAAATAAGCATTTGTGAACGAATCTCTTGAACGGTTCAAGACATTTTAACAGCCCCTTTTCGCCACCTACTGGCGTAACAACGTAATCGATAAATCTTTATTTGAAGTGTAAAATTATTTTCAAAAGGTGATTTAGCTACTCTAATTTAATCGCTAACGTACAATTCAGAGTTTATATCCGAACTAAAAAATGTTATCCCAGTACTTCTGTGATTATTTGCATGTTTGTAACAGAAATAGTCATAATGTGTGGTTGAAAAGACTGTGAAGCGGTTTCATTCATATACATGACAGCTGCTCTCTTCAGGTCAGTGGCAAAGCAAACGCAGGTTTAAATGTTCAAATCAGACTGATGTGATCATTCGCTGCACAGGCGTGATCGCACACATCAAAGGTTCATGAATGAAACCGATGAATCATTGTAATTTAGGAATTGAATCATGTTGGTGTTTGAATAATGTTCGCAATCTTTAACAATCTGTTAAAATAAAGTGCTTTTTTTGTCATGTTGGTGGTTACACCTCTCTCGCAACATGTTTAGCTTATCACAAATATTATACTTAGCTTTTTCAGACTCTAAACGCAAGTGTACCCAAACATTGGAGCGTTTAGATAAGTGAGCAAGGTCCTGGCAGATCGCTAGGTCGGGTCCTCACAGATGAAGAAAAAAGGAATCGATAGGCGGAATCTGAATTTTAATTTTAGAACAAGTATCCGATTCCTGAACTTAAGTATCTGATTCTGGAATTGGAATAAAGTTTCGATTCCCAACCTTAATTGCTAGGGTGTTCTGGATCAATTTGCAAAGTAACAACACACATGTCCTGAACAAGACACATGATTTGAGGAACCATTCATTCGTTTGGTGCACAAACACTGCAGGATGATACACTCTCAACTTTAATACTGCCTTTTAGAGGTTTGATCGGATCATTAATCTGAAGTAATAGTGATCTATATAACAGATGCTTTAGTGCAGTTAAGTCCGAGGACTCCAGGACATTTGTGTGTCCTATACTTTAAGTACTGCTTGCTCTCCCATAATAAATCATTGTAAGTCCTTGAGCTCATGTGGCTAACAGCAGGATTGTTCAGTGTTTAGCATCATCTGCTTGTCCTTCTACCTTCACAAGTTCTTCTGTCTCTGGCACAGAGAGGAACCTCAAGGTGATGCTGATGTGAGGCTGGTCTGCATCAAACATTCAACACAGAGATGAGGACCAGAGTTCACTTTACTCTCATTAGATGGAATGGTGCTTGAGATGCTCACATGCCTTCAGGCTGAAATTTGAAATGAGTTTCTCACCAAAAGCTTCTTCCAGCCACTCTTTTTAATAAAGCACTTCAACTCTGCTTTAAGGCTTATTTGATGCCCCTAAAACTTTCTTCAGTCATTGTCCTGACAGGGACTGTTCAAGGATGTCTTGGATCTGTTTCATGCATGGTGTTTTCTTACAAATGAAATAAAACTGAAACGAATGTTTTCACAGCTCTGTTGAGAATGCACCCAGACATGTGAATTAACTCATCTCAAATGCACAGATGGAAGATTTTAAGCAATCACGATGTATGTGCAGAAGAGGTCATTTATTGGTCATTACTTTTATTAGTAGTATTAATATTTTTAATATTATTGACATTATTATTATTACTGCTAATTGTAATTATTCAAACTCAATTTACTGTAGTCAGTGCTAAGTATTCTGTGTTGTTCTCAAACAGGGTTTCTGCAGGTTTTATGAATGTAAATTTAGGACTTTAAGACCAAATAAAGAAAACTTGAGAATTAAATTGAATGGATAACAATACATCAGCTTATGGCTTGCATATCTCTGCTCTCAACCACTACGAATATGAAACCGCTTTTTACTGACACTTTTAATCCCACTGAAGAAAGTCTTGCTCTTCATCAGGATTTTTGTCTCGTTTCCCATGGCAAACGTTTAAAGATTCTTAAATCAAGATACATTTACTGGAGAAGATATAAGATAAGTCTTGTTTTATGAGAAATTGTTAAAATTTTTTGTGAGTTTTTCATTAAAACAAGAACAAACATCGGCCAGTGGGCTTGGACAAATCAATTTAATTCAAAGGGAAAAAAGTTTAAATTCCCCACTGACAGATATTTGTTATTTTTTAAAGCACAAACTCACTTAATTTTGCTCTTTTTTTATAAAACAAGACTTCATATGTTCAATTTGCATCTCAAGATATTTATTTGTAACCAAATAAAATTACAGAAAGACAGACAGACAGATAGACGACAGACAGATAACAGACAGACAGACAGATAGACAGACAGACAGATAGACGACAGACAGACAGACGACAGAAAGATAGATAGATAGACAGACAGACAGATAGACAGACAGACAGACAGACAGACAGACAGACAGATAGACGACAGACAGATAGACGACAGACAGACAGACAGACGACAGACAGACAGACAGACAGACATACAGAAAGACAGACAGACAGATAGACGACAGACAGATAACAGACAGACAGACAGATAGACAGACAGACAGATAGACGACAGACAGACAGACGACAGAAAGATAGATAGATAGACAGACAGACAGATAGACGACAGACAGACAGACGACAGACAGACAGACAGACAGATAGACAACAGACAGACAGACAGATAGACAGACATACAGATAGACGATAGACAGACAGACAGATAGACAGAAAGTTAGATAGACAGACAGACAGATAGACAGATGATAGACAGACAGATGACAGACAGATGATAGACAGATAGATGATAGACAGACAGAGAGACAACAGATAGACAGACAGACAGATAGACGACAGATAGACAGACAGATAGATACAGACAGACAGATGATAGACAGACAAGAGAGACAGAGAGACAAGACAGACGACAGACAGATAGACGACAGACAGAGAGACAGACAGACAGATAGACGACAGACAGATAGACGACAGACAGATAGACGACAGCCGACAGACAGACAGACAGACAGACGACAGACAGACAGACAGATAGACGACAGACAGACAGATAGACAACAGACAGACAGACAGACAGACAGACAGACAGACGACAGACGACAGACGACAGACAGACAGACGACAGACGACAGACAGACAGACGACAGACGACAGACAGACAGACAGATCTCAAACCACTTTATAAAGCAACATTACCCAAAATCCCTGAAGGACACAATTTAATGAAAGCAGAATGAAGATGTGACTTACAGCTCCAAAGTATGGGGCCTGATGGACCACTCCTGTCCCGTCATCATCACGCACATAGTTATCCACCACCACCGAGAACGCACCGCTCTCCTTACACTGAGAAGAAAAACAAGCGTTCATCAAGACCACTTCTGACATCAGAAGATGAAATGCTTTACCCAGAAACACTTGTGCGACTAATGACGACATCAGAAGAAGCAGATTTACCCACAGATCCATTTCATTTAACGCTAAAATATTTTTCAGATACATAAGTCTCAGCATTCTGTCATCTCTGTTCTCCTTAAAGAAATGTGAGAGTATGAAACGGTCAGCAACTGTGAATCAATCTGCAGTGACGCAGCATTACAATGTTTACCTTGATGAAGTACTCAAACAGAGGCTTGTATTTTTTGCCCTTCAGGGTCTTGCCAGGAAATCTATAAAGACAAAAACACACTTTATCAACACTGAACTACAACCACGGAGCGGTTAGAGAACTACTGAAGGAGCTGAAACATAAGGCAATAATGCCAAAACTCTCCTTGACCTTTGAGAATATGAACATTTACAAGGGTCTACGATTGATCAATACAGAAGAAGCAGGTGGGAATTTAACTCAAACTGTTACTCGGGTTATGAACAGACAGTCTCAGGCGGTTTGTAAGCCAGAGAACACACATCCTGTTTCTGAACCATTGTCACATTTACAATATCAATTCAGACTTCAATTAATCATTATGTTGCTCCAAAACCGTATGACTTTCTTCTGTGGAACACAAAGGGAGCACTTGTGAAGAATGTTCATGCTGCTCTCATCCATATAATGAAAGCAGAAGGGGACCGAAGCCTTCAAGCTTTAAAAAAAAAAAAAAAAGCATATGACATGTGCAGCATGTTCAACACACACTAGATCTTCTAGGTCTGATTGGGCAAATCACTCTGTTAAGTTTGATCTGTCTAATAAATTGTTTAATTGCTTCATTAATATTGCTATAGCTTTGTTTTTGAAGCTGGAAGCTGGAATGTCGTCTTTTGTGTTGCACAGATGAAGTCACGCAGGTTTGCAACAACACGAGAGTGAGTAAATGCATTGTTTTTATGCAAACATCAGGAAGTGCAGTGAAATCAACTCTACTCGTGCTTCTCATTCCAGGCACATCACCTTCTGCTGAAGAACATTAATCAAAAGCAGAGAGATATTAATCGATAATAGCAGTTCGGCTCAGGACTAATCCCACAATACCTCAGCTTACTGTTATCAGCCCAGCACACTGCTCAGAGAAACACACACACACAACCCTCAGGACTCACTGCACTATTTTACATTTTAGGTAAAACTGCAGATTTCAGGTGCTTTCCTAGACCTTACCCGTATATATATATATATATATATATATGTGTGTGTGTGTGTGTGTGTGTGTATATACACACATATACATATACATATACATATATATATATATATACTAGTGCTGTCAATCGATAAAAATAAACTAATTATTCGCACATTAATCACGATTAATCCCACCTAACATTAAAGTTTTTAAATTGCAATAATTTCCCATTCAATCATCAAATTAACGTACAAACAACAAATTATTTTTAACATTTGTTTAATGGCATCTTTTTTTTATGACTGAAGGCCAGTATCACTGATACCAACACTACTGAGGTCTCTATAAAATAGTTTTTTGCCCCTAATATTTAACCATTGACTATAGCCATTCAACATTACAGTATAATTCAGAGCTTTCAATTTTATCATTTATTAGACTTTAAAATTTAAGTGAACTTAAAACAATCTTCATATAAACCCATTATAATAAATGTCATATTTACCTGTGCCCTTCAGCAGAAGTATACATAAATTGAAGTTATCAAACACTAAATTCTAAATTAAATACAGATGATTCCTTACAGCTATAAAAGTTCTTTATTTCCTTTTTTTTCTTTTTCCTTTGATTAACAGACATCACAGCAGCTGGTTATCAGGTTATTTTGACTGCTATTACTTTAAGAGCTGCCGCTGCTGAACGTGACGCGGATCTGACAAGCATCATATTTTCTCTCGACTCTTTTCTGACCCACTTCAGGTCTCCATTAATGAGCTGACGAGTTAAATCGGGTGTGTTAGATGAGAGAGACAGTGCTGGGCTCCAGGTCAGTTTTGAAAACCATTTCAGAGACATGTTCTTAAATGTGACTCATATAAAATATATTACATGCATGCACAGTTTTAAAGCAGCTTTAATCGCCTTTTTGGTAACTTCATGACTTAACTGACCACGACATTGCATCGCGCGCTTCTGTGCTAATCAGCGGCGGTAAACTCACTTGTCCAGGATGGTGTACTCCGAGTCAGATTTGAAGAGAGCGACGAGTCTGGCCTCCATCATGATGTACACCTGCTGCGAGCTGTTATCTGACAGACACAGAGGAGAGACTCTCACCAGCACATGACAGATTTAACCAAGACAACAAGACACAGCAGCACAAGAAATAAAACTGTACATTTACACACTTTTTTTCCAATTTCATATCTAGAACACAAGCACATTATTGTATCTCACATGTGCTCAGATGTCGGCTTCATGCTAGATAAACGTGTCATTTCAACAACCTTAATGAACTTTTCACCTTCACTAAAGCTTTTCACTTTTTTTGCTTGTTAATGCGAAAACGACTAACTGTTGGTTTAATGGTGAAACCTGCACCATTTTTTATGTTTTTGAATGAAGTCTCTTCTGCTCCCCAAAGACTGCATCAATCTGATCAAAAATAGAGCAAATGCATTAAAAAATGTGAAATATTATTACAACTTAAATCAGCTGTTTTCTCTGTGAATGTGTTAAACTGTAATGTATTTCTGTGATGTGCAGCTGTATTTCCAGCATCATTACTCCAGTCTTCAGTGTCACATGATCTTCAGAAATCATGCTGATTTGTTGCTCTATTACCAATTATTTTTTGTGATCAATTATTAATAATGTTCTTAGTATTATCAGTGTTCAAATATTATGTTTTTGCAGCTTAATATTCACTAATTTAACATTTGAACATATTCTATTTTATTAAACAATGCATTTCATTTGAACTTATTAATAATAAAAATGGAAGCTCAAATCTGAACATGAATCAAAATTAAATGTCAAAACTTTCATTTTGGTTGAACTAGGCCCACACATGATGCATATTTCTGCATTTTTGTGTTATACGGTGATGATATATTGTTAAGTTAGCTCGCCGTGGGGTAAGATGTGCCAGCTGTGTCTGTGGAGAGATAACATGTAGTCTAACAGTAATACAAGTCTCTCCAGCAGCAGCTCAAAGCACATTACAATGGGACTGAAAGACCCTGAAAGAGGAGCGTTTAAGAGTATTGTGAGTAAGAGACGGCAGGCTGAGAAAGGACTGTGCGGAGCGTCATTGGTATTCAGTGCGTCTCTCTCCTGCAGCAGACGGCCGAGCTAATGAAGGACTCACAGCGCCCCCTGTCTGCCGCCGCACACGCCGCTCTAACTGGGTCAAGCTTTTACTCAGGATCTTCAGAGGAGATACGTTTACAGAGCAGGCTCTTTTTAAGTGAGCTGATTTGAGGTTTCTGCAGTGAAGGCATCCACAGATGGCCAGATACTACAGAAAAGCCAACCTCAGGAGGTCAAGCTCACTATTGCTTTCACCGTCATATCTTATATTCATTTTCTACAAGGTTTGGGACAAGTCTGAATACTAGGGCTGTAAGGTCATACTTCAGCTTTGACGTCACGGTACAGCGGGGGGAAAACCGTATTAAGCAGTGGTTTACTGAACAAATTGCTCTTTCTTTAAATAAATCAATTATAATAAAAAAATCTACTTCAGTTCATGCTGCAAACTATAGATAGCCCTTTTACATTACTGTAAGGTTAGAATTAACAACAGAGCCCAAACGTAAAATTAACTATTTATTTTTAAATATAATAATCAACACTCCAAAAAAAAAAAATATATATATATATATATTGTATGCAAACATGTAAATTGCATTCTATAATAAACTAACTTTACTAACTTTATTAACTTAAATGAAATGCTATGTGACTTTTTGTTTGCATGCCTGATTCAAGGAGGGGGTCTCAAAAATGGCCAAAAAAATATTATTTTACTAACTTATTAATTTTAAGTGAAATTGTGCGTTGTTGGTATAATGTCTGCTAGAATGTTAAAACAAATGTTCAGTGTTAAGTAAATATTTTTTAAATTGTTGTTTTGTAATTGATGTTTCTTTGAAAAGCCAGACAAAACTGCATAAATTAAATACCCAAATTTAGCTTTTTACTATGGTGGAAAAATACACGAGAAACCGTGTTCGGTATTCGGCCCAGTGTTTCATTTGAAGAGTTCATTTGCAATAACCGATAACCGATTTTTTTTTCAGAAATCACGTTTTTTTTATTGCGCATTCCAAGTAATATCAATCAAACTGCAGTTGGGATGTTTTGATCAAGTAATAACTTAAACAAATACAGGTAATTTACTAAATTAAAGTTAATTGAAAGCATGTTTTTCTTACATATTAAAAGTTTGTTTTATAGCAAAAGCAGATAACTCCACATTTCATGTTTTAGAGTTTAAAAAACACTGGTTTAATCTTTGTAATCTCCTCAGATGATAATGTAGACGCCTGACAAACGTTGTTGTTGTTGTGATCATAAACTGTATGGATGTGATTACACGCAATACACAGAGCTTTTCCCTCACTATTGTAACGTGCTGCTTTTGCAAGCTTCCGTGAAAACCTTTCAGCTTTTATTTTCCTTTTTCTCCCTGAAGAAGACATTACAGGTTCATCAAGTTTGTCGAAATGATCCTCGATCACGAAACTCCTCTCAGCTAGCACGTCTTAAAGTGAAAGTGGCCTTGTCACCGGACCTGAATACAGCGCGCTGATTGGCTGAAATGGATTTATCGGCTTCTGTTCAAATACAACAAGGCGCTTGTCGGCTTCTGCAGTAAAACGTGAACTCGCGATGCCTTAAAAGTGGACAAAACCGGCTTTTTTGACAAAACGTGTTTAGGGTTCAGAGCGCACTGTGGAGACTTATGCACGGCAATCAGCTTTTTTTTTTTTTTTAAAGTGGCGTTTATCGGTTTTTGCAAATGAACTTTCATTTCGGTGCATCCCTAAAACGATCGTTAATGAGAGGTGAAGCGCACCTTTGACCTTGACGTAGATGAAGTCGGGGCTGACGCAGAGGGCCAGGTTGCTGGGCAGGGTCCACGGCGTGGTGGTCCAGGCGAGGAAGCTCACCGTCTCGTCCTCCAGCAGAGGGAAGGTCACGATCACAGACGGGTCCTGCACGTCCTGAGGAGGTCAGAGGTCAGAGGTCAGAGCCGAGGCGCCGCTGAGGAGCACAGGAGCTCAGGAACCCAATCACCTTGTAGTTCTGATGGGCCTCGAAGTTGGAGAGCGGCGTGTTGCAGGCGGTGGAGAACGGCATGACCTTCACCCCTCTGTAGACCAGACCCTTCTCATACAGCTGCTTAAACACCCACCTGAAACACAGCACAGCACCCAGCATGCACCGCTGCACTCCAATCCTGAGTACGGCTGTCAAAATGGCTGAAAAACTACATTCGAATTTTGTACTTTAATTTAACGAATTTAATTTAACGAATTTAAAAAGGGGGGGAAACAGCGTTTGGCTTCTCTCCTGAGGGCGCATCAAGCAAAATATCACTAATGCACGATTATTCAAAGCAATAAAATAACATGACCATCTTTGAAAAAAGTGCATCATGTTTAAAATAATGTTTATAAACCATATATAATTAATTAAGTTGCTTAAACAACTATAAACAAAACAGCATCATGTATGCATGTATAGTTTAATACAAAGGACCGAAAACCAATCACAAAGAGTGCTTTCTTTATTTAAAAGCATGAGATGCGGAAAAAACGCTATAAAATCTCGAGAAGTGTTTTTTAAAAGTTGAACTTGCATTAATTTTACATGGCTTTCTAAACATGCGGCTCTTTTGTGCGAGACGCGAGTGCAAAGCTGATAGATGTCCCTCTAGAAAATGTGCTAAATATGCGTTCGGTGTGAACGGCTTGGTTTCAGTTTTGACGTAAACAAGATGATCTCCGCATCGATGTTCTCTTTTCCCGCAGTATTTTGAATGAACAACAGCATCGCAGCGCCGCATCTAGTGGCTTCAGCTGGAAAGGCTATCGTCATCGCATCTCGTGCACCGCTGATAAAGCTGCCTGATGCACACCAACAATTCAAATGCTACTTTTTTGGGATTTTTATTTTAAATTCGACGAATATTCAAAACTCAATTTTTTTTTTGGACAGCCCTAATCCTGATTCAGTATCGGTTCGTTATGATCTACAGGAATCAGGTGCAGTCCATCTTTCTCAAGCAAACAAATCTCACAACTAATGCTGTAATAAACTCAACCCTGTTAGCTGGTACATAATACATAATAGCTGGTAATATAATGCAAACTAAATATTTAAATTGCACATAAGGTGGCTTTTATAATAATACAATTTAATAACTTTTTAATTAACTATGTATTATTATGTACTATGTATGTATGTATTTGTCAAGTCAAGTCACCATTATTTATATAAATATATAATATATATATAGCACTTTTTACAATGCAGATTGTGTTTCAAGGAAGCTTTACAGTATTAAACAGAAATAATGTGCTGTTCTCCTCTGGCCAGACGACACCAGCCGTTTAATTCTGGCCTGCAATTTACATGTTTAAAATGTATTTTATATACATTCATATACAAATAAAATGTATTATGTAAAATCGATTATGCAATAATACTGGGCCATTTCAAAGGTTTACATAACTTTGTTCTCTTTTGTACACTGTAAAAAATTGTAGTGTGAAATTACAGTATATTCCAGGTTAATAATTGCATGACTTGCATGATATCTAACTGATATCTCTATGATATCTAATCTTGTAAACAAACAGCATCATACTATGTTTCTGCTGTACAGTGCATATGTAATATGAAGGCACCCAGCATGCAATGCAGCATGAATAGCTCATGCTTCTAGTGGGTTTTATTTGTGCTACTGAACTTGCTTTTGATTCACTCTCAGCAGTGTGTGTTGTTTGTTATGTTGGTAAACTCCTGGTGATTTTTACAGTGCATTTACAGTGACGCAGTATTATTCTGGTGAAGAGTTTTCGGGTCAGGAAGGATTTACAAAATGACTTTTGGATTATGAAGCGAGCTCGTGTTTGTCAGAAAAATGCAGGTAATTCAGCTGGACATTTTACAGGAGCGACAGGAGCACAGCGCTGTAAAATCACTGACTAGCCTCTCCGCTCACGTCCACATGAGAAAGCACTTAGTCTGAACAGGGCTATAGCTGCATGTGATCTCACCACACGGTCTCCATGAACCACGGGTACAGCGTCTTATAGTCGTTCCTGAAGTCAATCCAGCGGCCCATTCGTCTCACCGACGTCTGGTGTGCACAGAGTCACAATCATCAATCACAACAATCATAATAACACTCATCTAAACCCAACTGCAGCACTTAAGCCAGACACACAATGTTGAAAAAACAGGTCTCTATAAATAACATCCGGTCACATGACTCACGTGCTGTATGAGCTTCCGAAAGGACATCTCTCTGATCAAATAAGCTGCAGGACTAAAATCACGACACTCGAGGACTAGTGACATTGATGTTACCAATGGAGAAATTAACTAGCTGTTTTCTGAAATCTGTTTTTCAATCCATGAGAGGTTTATTCTGTCTATTGATGTGTAAAGGCTCATTCACACCAAGAGCAATAACTATAAAGATAACGATAACTATATCAGCGTCCACACCAGCAGATGATGATATTCAGGTTATTATAGGCACTCGGCAGTTTTGTCGTCTGCTGCTTTAAAAGCTCTTTAAAGCAGGATGGTTTCTGATTGGCTGTTTTTATCGTTCATCAGCTGGAAAAAAAAAAAAATCACCCCGACAGTGATTCCAACAATATCATTCCTCTGTATCGCTGTTGTTGCTGTTGAGGTGCAGACTTGCCTATTATTTTACAGTCAGAACAATTATTAATAGTGCTGGCCAACGATTAATTGCATCCAAAATAAAAGTTTTTGTTTACAGTATATAATATATGTGTACTGTGTATATTTATTATGTATATGTAAATGCACACACATACAGTATATATTTTGAAAATATTTACATGTATATACATTTATATTTTATATAATTATATTTAATATATAAACGTAACCATTTTTTCTTAAATATATACATGCATGTACATGCATGCACAATAAATATACACACAGTACACACACACATATTATGCACACAAAAACTTATTTTGGATGTGATCGCGATTAATCGTTGCCCAGCACTAATTATTAAATAAGGTGTACAGTAAGAGCTCTCTCTCTCGGACTGAATGAGTCTCATCAGTCTCTATCATGATGACCAATCAGTCTTGTGTGTTTATAGTTCACTGCCAAAGAAAGTGCTGAAGTGTAACTGCGCTTTTTTAAATGAGAGAGGATTTTTTTCTGTTGTACAAGACTAATGTTGTTATTAGAGCATCTCTTTTATTGAAAAAGACACTCATTTTTAGCTGTACTAATTGAATGTTACTCAGGCTCTGTTAACTGACCCTCTCTCTCTCACACACACACACACACACAATCTCTCTCTCTCACACACACACACACACACTCTCTCTCTCTCTCTCTACACACACACACACTCTCTCTCACACACACACTCTCACACACACACACACACTCTCTCACACAATTACACAGACACACACACACTCTCTCACACACACACACACTCTCTCACACAATTACACAGACACACACTCACACTCACGTACCTCCCACTCGTTAGCGTATCTCATGACGATGCTCCTGCACTGCTTGTTGTACTCCGCTATGCCCATCTTAGCCACATCCTCCGGTCCTCGGATATTCAGCGCTTTATCGATCTCATATTCCTGAAGAACAACAACATGTTCTTTATGAGAAAACATGTAAGCTTGTCTAAAAGCCTTTTTAGGGTTTAGGGTTGAAAAAGCGTTATTTCTTCCATCTTTATTTGACCCTCTAACTCTAGCACTCTATTCTAATTCTATTCTTAAAAAAAAAAAAAAACTTGCCCCTTTTAAACTTGCACTCCATTCATTTACGAACTGCTTGTTTTCTTTAAAAAAGCAGTAGATTTTCTAATCTTTTTGTATTCTGTTTGCTTACTTTTTATTTATTACACAATTAACAAAAAACAAAAAAGACCTCTAACACTAGCTTGCTCTATTCTACCCGTTTTCTTTTTATTTATTATATAATTTACATTCTATGTGTGTGACGGTGATTGATTCTCACCACGGGCAGGCCGTGACAGTCCCAGCCGAACCTGCGCTCCACGTGGAAGCCGTTCTGATGAGCAAACCTGGTCACGATGTCCTTGATGGTTCCAGCTAGGATGTGTCCGTAGTGAGGTAGGCCGGTGGCGAAGGGCGGCCCGTCGTAGAACGTGAACCTGATGCACAAACACACGCCACACATCAGCACAGACGACAAAACTCAACACAATAACTGAAACTGAGTAGTAGTAGTGCATTTTTATTTAATGCCATGTCAGCACCTTAGGCTATTTTCATGGCAAAAACAATTAAAAAAAACACAAGTATAACAAATACAATAAAAACCAGCAAACAAACAAACACAAGGTATATTACACAAGATTTTTTTTACATTAACATTAAAATTCTAAAACTTTTTCTGGCTAAATAACTCTTTAAGTGAGTTCACTTCATAAAAGAGTTTTCTACATACGTTAAAAGCGGGACAGTCGCATGCTGATGACTTTTTATTCTCTTATAGTAACGTGCGTCGTATCGTACGAGTCAATAGGTGTCATCATCGTACAGTCTACACACATGTCGCAGCCAAGTTTATCAGATCCATGTCGCACAGTGTGATATGCAGTGATCTTATAGGATTGCTAAAATCGTGCAGTGTGTTTTGGGCTTTATTTACACTGCTCACGTCTGCGGCACGTTATGGCTCCGGCCAGGTTTTGTTCCGTCCTCCACGCGGTGCCAACTCACACCAGGAGCGTTTCAGACGCGAAGCGACAGGATTCGCCAGACCACGTGATTTTTCTTGAGTTCTAGCATGGTTGGCTAAATGTTCACATTTTGTCCGGCTTAATTCCGTTTATTCCACTCATACAACTCCTGCAATTAAACTCCACCCTTTTTGGAATTATCCTTGTAAAAAGGATTTGTGGTGTCATATAACAATGCGTGTTTTTTAACCTCTCGTCACCCATTTCTGGCATCTTAACAAGTATACAGTGATGTGAAATACATTTGGGAGTCTGCAAAAGGGTGTTTATTTTGAAATCGCCATGATTTTTTACTTTTATTTTGTATTTGCTGTGCGGCTTGGACACGGTGTCCATCAAAAATACACTAGGTGCCTATCTTTAGCGAAGCAGCGCGGACAGCCGCTTCTGGGATGCTTCAGAAACGTGCCGCGGCACAAGCATTGACAAAAGTGGCCGCATCGGAGCCGTAATGCGCCGCAGACGCGTGCAGTGTAACTAAGGGGTAAGGAGCTTTAATTCCGTAGGAGGCGCTGTTGGCCTATTTCTAATCAAATGAAAGCAAAATGCACAAATAATATTTAGGCTGTGTTTCTGATTAAATAAAGCAGTAATTGATGCCATAAAGCCATGAGTATGTTTTGATTTAAAGGTCAGAAGCTATAGCTTACATGAACAAAAATAAATCAATCACAAACATGACACTTAAATTAAATAATTTTATATATACTGATTTATTAATTAATGTGTAATATGTTATATATTTTAAACAAATTATGAGCTCTAAAAGATTTTCAGACTTTAGACCATTTACAAATGTTAAATCATAAAATAAAATAAAAATAAATAAATAAAATGTTAAGGTTACCACTGCATCTTTCTGAAAAAAAAAATGCAGTAATTAATATATATTTTATTTATAGTTATCGTAAAATCTTCAATGTACTGTCATTATAAAAGAACGCTATTATTGTTTATTTAATTCGTTTAGGACAGAAATGCTTTAGCCACTGTAATTAAAACAATATGTGGACACCAAAACGTGTAAACGTTTGTGTGACGCACGTACTTAACCTACACGCATGTAAATAATTAAAGCGCATATACTGTATTGGAACTGCATCGCATATAATTAATTAAATCGTAGCATTTGTGAATTCACAATTATGCTTAATTATATCATGCAGCCTTGGGAAACAGTCTAATAATGTGTTTTATGGATTCTCGTCCGTGAAATGCGCCAATTCCGATATTTTGTTAGTCGAGTATTTTTAAAAATCGAATAGGCGAATAAAATCGACGAATTGCGACAGCCCTACAATAAACACTTCAAATAAATAAATAACTGCAATCATATTATTGATGCTACTATCTATAAAACATCCCAATGGGGAAATACATTACTGCAATTCCACTGTTGATATTTTCTCATTTTACAGTAAAACTATGTTAGACAAAGCTAATTTAACAGCACATCATTGTCTACCTTAACCCTGAAGGAGCTACGACGGGGGATACAAACACTTGAGAAGCAGGGAAAGCGTAGGTCTCGTTTCTTGGTTTCATGTTGAAAGGGTGTTTGTTGTGAATATTTAGATATATTGACTTTGTTCATACATTCTTTGTTTAGCTCACGGACAGCATTTAAACCTGCTCTTATCTACTCACCTTGATCTAGCTCACACATTTACACTCGCTGGAGGGGACTTACCGGTTTAAAAAGCTGTTGTTCAGCATTAGCTTATTAGGTTTACATTGACATTTTATAAATTAAATGCTTACATTTTTTGTAATCTGTCTCTAAACGTTTGCATCTCAGAGGATACGTCACACTTTTAAATCAAGATATAAACACACACATATAGACTGTGACTTTGTGGCTTGTGTTTTAGAAAATCAAAAGCTTTTTGTAATCTTGACGAAACACATATCGTTGGAAAGGTCTGACAGTCAAGGTTCCATATTTGGTGACTGTTTTGTAATAGATGTGATATTGTGACAGAAAACTGCATCAAAGAAATTCAATGGAGTTTGGGTGTCACCCAGTGGTTATTTTTGGTATAGCGCCCAAACAAAATCTCACAGGAACCATAATTTTTGGTGATATCAACTTCAAATTTGGAACATAACTTGGTTAGACATATGGCTTTGATTTTAAAGCAATTTTAAGTGCAACATTTTTTTTTTTATAATTATTTTATATATGTATACTACATTACCTTTACTAGTAAACTTCTTTACTTAAACTTCTATAACTTTTTATACTTTCTTTTTTTGAAACGCTTGGTAAAAAGAGACCACGCTTAGGTTCCAAAGCGTTGAGGAACTACAGCAGTGCTGTAACAAGCAAGCGTTCTGTTTTCAGTGAACTTATACCCCCAAAGGAGCGATCTTGGGGATACAAACATTAACAATCAAATATAAAAGTCAAGTTTTGAATAAAAGCATGAAATTGTATTATTTGAGTTCCAATAAGATGGAAAATAGCAATTAATTAATTTTCTGATGTCTCTTTATGGTTTTGCCCTTTTTAGGGTTAAGGTCTGCCATATTCATTTCCATTGTGCAATATATTGTATTTTTTTTTTTTTTTTGGAATAACAAGGAAATTAGTAGAAATTAATTATTGCAATATAGCAACTTCGTACCATAGAGGGTTAAATAAGAGTAAAGTGAGACCTGGGCCGGTTCTTGCTCTGTTTGAGACACTCCTGGAAACAGTCCTTGTCCAGCCAGAGCTGCAGGATTCGCTCCTCCTCCGAGGGGAAGTGGATAGACTCTGGCACCACCTCCACCATTCTGAGCACTACACACACACACACACACACACACACAGAGAGAGAGACACACACACACACACACACACACACACAGAGAGAGAGAGAGAGACACAGAGACACACACACA